AGCCACCCTGAGCATTCACATCTGCCCCACGCTCGAGGAGAATTCGCACAACCGATTCATCTCCCTTTGCTGCAGCTGCTTGTAGTGCATTGCCATAAACGCCACCCTCAGCATTCACATTTACCCTATCCTCCGTTCTGTTGACTAGTAATTTACAGGCAGTCACTAGACCCAACAAGGAGCAATAGTAGATTGCTGGTGGGTAAGGCATGGAATCCTCGGGTTTACGCCACCAGGGACGGTCGGGGTCATATATATCTAGCCAGGCTTGGCCAAGCTCGAGCACCCTTACCGCAGCCTCGGAGAGTGGAGTGGGCGCCATATACTCGATTGGTCTAAAGTACGTGAACCAATGGCGAGCACTGTAGTAGAGAAACGACATTCGTTCGCCTTTGTTGAGCCGTATAGTACCTTCCCCATGCCGTAGTATTCGACTAAGGCAAGCGTGCCCCATCCATAAATTGGCTGTATCTTCAGAGATATGATAGTAAGCACTGGAGGCCTGAGCCGCTCTGTCCGAGATCAAATATTCCTTTACCGAGAAATGTGCTAGTCGTAATCGCCGGCTTTCCTGGGTGGAGGATTCATCGTCCGCGGCGTCTTCAAAGGAAATAAGGCTAGGGCAAATGCTCATGAGGGACTTCATGTCAAAAAGATCTTCCGAATCCTCTCCATAATTGTTGACTTCGTATTTCATCACAATGGCCTCCGCAAGCTGGCCTAATGTCAATGGTACCGCCGAAAATGCCAGCCAATTCATCGCGCGCCGAATATATTCCTTCTGCTTCTCAGGAATGGTATCGAGGATCCTCTCGTAGATAGAATCTAAGTCCTTCGGGAGTTCCCGCAATGCATCCCGCACAGATGTTGGCGTTATGCATTCTTCCACAACCCACAGGACACAATCTACCCATCGGAACCTGCAAACGCGTGCCACCAGATTAGCGTAAGTTGAAATTCAATGATTGGGCATAACACACATTCCCTGTGAACCCGAAACAAGCTTTTCCTCTATCTCACTCTTGATTCCTTGCGTAAATTGCCGCAAACCATCCTTTCCTGCTAGAGAGTTCCGTACATATGCGCGGATATCCGGATCGATGGTGCTAGATTGTAGTGATATTGCAAAAGGGTCGAGTCGTTCCAGTGACCCTACTATATCGCCCTCGGGACGGCTAGTGACAAGAATCGAAAGTGATCCCTCATTATGATCTGCCCTGAGCTCGCCAATCCAAGATAGGAGGCTCCCGCGAGTGGCCTTTGGGAACTCGTCCAAGGCGTCTAAAATGATAAATGTCTTCTTGAAACCCTTTATAATCCGTGACAATACATCTTTCAGAGCCTTGGTACCCGCCGACTTTCGAATTGCCCCGGTGCTTTTGTACAAATCTACAACCTCAGCCGGCAAACCCAACTCCGAAGCCCGTTTTGGAAGTTGGCCAATGATGGATAGAAGCATATTCTCCAAATTTTGCTTCTCCGAGTCACTAAAGGTAAAGTAGAAATATGCTAATGCGTGATCGTCGTTTGACTTGCACAGACTTTCAACATCCTCAATGGCAGTGGCGCTAGTGCGAGGGTTAGCAATCGAGAAATCATATTACACCTTCGGATACCCGGTTGGGTTCGCACCTTAAGACACTTTTGCCACATCCGGCTACGAGACAAATATTAATAACATTCCTAGACCCATAAGATTTCACTCGTCGGTAAACTTACGTATACCGTGAAGCCAGAGAACCCCTCCTCTCCCTGCCTTCCAATAGATATACTCGCGTCCCTGGAGCAGCCAATTCCCCGTACCAGGTTCACGAAGCGCGAGTGCAGTTGAATAATTGGAGGTTGGGTCAACGACATTAAGCCATTTCTGTATTTCCTGGAGTTTATTTTCTAGAGTTTTAGGAATATCCGATATTAGTCAAGAAAATGATCGGTAGGGTTAGGAATAAAAGTACCATCTAGGGCTCTCAACACCGTTGTTACCGTCTTCCTGAACCACTAGTTAGCCTTGCCACAGGAAGAAAAAAAAAGCAGTGGAGAAATTAGATTCTTCCGTTATGGAGGAATAGAGAACCTACGTTGTAACCGTAGTCAGCAACAGCTGAAGTTCTGATCTCTGCTCTTCGACCAAGCCTAGGTAGCGCTCCATTTTAGGTTTATGAAGAGCCCAAAGATACTTCCGCAACCATTTCCTCCATCCCTGAACATCTAACCTTTTTTCTAGTTTCCTGAGGGCTTTGGAATAACCTTCCAAACTGTTGTTTTTGGTCCATTCAAGAATTCTAGGGTATCGTGGGCTGTTCTCACCGCCTTCTGCAGCAAGGATTTTTATTTCCTTCAGGTGCCCGTCAATACCCCTAATCCCATCCGCCAGTCTCTTGAAATTGTTTTCGCTCTCTCCGACAGCGTCGCAGTATTCATCGCAAAGCTGATAAACCTTCACGCCGAGGTGAATAAGGGCCAAGCCACTAGCAGCAAGCGAGAATGGTTCCGCCATTTCCTTTCTCCCGAATGATGTAGATATATGAGGGGAGTGTAAGTTGCAATGAGAGATCGCTATCTTTCAATAGGGAAAGATGGATAAAAGTCTAGTTTCGATTTAGGGGTGGGTCCTAGAAGTTTGGGGAACTTTTCGGTGATGCTTTCCAACTGTGGATTTAGGGATGAGGTGAGATACAGAAACTGCTCGTGGAGGGTATCTTTTCGGAGCAAGGTCCTTCTTAAGAGCTCCAAGGGCGGGGCTCCGAAATGCGCAGCGCTTGCACTGGTTCATAAGAACGGCAGCTGCATGCCCAGTCGCTGTCGGCCCAACTGCAAGCCAAGTATGATATTACTCAAATACCGGGATATCAGCCCCCGTGCTACCATTTCAGCAACGATCAAGTTTCTTTCCCCGCACGGGCTTTAATGCCACTAGGTGTGCAGAAAATTACAGTCTAGATAGGTGGATGGAAGGTGTACCCAAGTAAACAACCCCGCGTGTTTTGATCAAGTAGATTGGAATCGATACGATTTCGAGTATGGGTAATGCAGACGAGTAAAATACTCGTACTCGAGTAATTGTACAGCGCTATACAGTGCTGTGATTACCATACTGTAGACGGCCCAAATGCACCACCGGTATCTCGAGCACTTGGGCCATGCTGCCCAAAATTTAATAGCCCAATGTACCAGTCAGATTTACCGCATTCGGTTGCGCTACGATTGCAGAGCCCGTTCTCTTACCAAGGCCTTCCACCCCCCCATTCCGGTAGTAGTTGTTGTGGCACTTGTACTTGCACTTGTACTTTCATGCGATGCAACATTGTGAGACATTCAGCCCAGTCCCGAAAAGTTGATGTGAATTTCCGCAGCCCCAGGCTCTGCCCGGCTGGGCGAAGATGGGCTGGCGACCCTCCTTGAGTATCAGTACCGGTATGCCACCCACTGATTTTTTAGGTGCCCTAGCGCACACCCTCCCCCCACATAGGCCGGCTGTATCCCTTCTTGTTGCGTAGCGAAAAGAGATGCGCCCAGGTCTGGAGACCAGTGTTGGTATGAAAGGAGGGAGTAGTGATGAAAATCAACAAAAGGCATCGGGCTCACATTTATGGACCCCGCCTTCGAAGGTGTGAAGAGGTTTAGAAAATCCACGAAAATATGCCACACCAGCTTAAACAAGACTGCAATATTATACAAGCAAAATGAGAGAGTTCAAGAGAGAAAAAACTACTTCAGAATATATTCCCCGGTTGCCCTCAACCCTTCTGCACGTGTGCCTTCAGCTTCAGAAGACTCTGATAGTGCTGAGAATAACTCCTCTTCCTCTTGAATGTTATTTCTGACTTCAGCAGGTTTTACATCTTAATTTCGGGCTCGACTGCAGGGAGAGGCTATCCCTTGACCTGTTGCCGAATTTCACATTATTTTAGCATGTCGACTGGCCAATTAGTGCCGATTTAGCGACCCTCCATGACAGCGAACCATTTCGGATTGATTGATTTCTTTTGGGCCAAGTCCGCTATCCAGAACACTAGTCTGTTCAAGTAACCATGACCACACCTACTACTACAGCCCTACTTTTGGTTGTTTCTATCACAGTCATGATGAGCGGTACATAATTTGGGGTGTACTGAGCACTACAACTTCAGAGAGTTACCGAAGTTTTTTCCATCCTGATTACCATAATAGGTTAGTGATCTGAATTGCAACCTTGACCAGAAGGTCACATGTTTCTGGAATACTCTAAGCAGTATCAAGCAAAACTAGTCTTTTACTGTCTCTCTCGTAACCTTGGCTACCCACCAAGACGATAATTTGAAAACAAGGCAAGGGATGGTTGTGCAGAAAAAAGCGAAATCATCAGGGAGGGTCAGGGTTGGCGAACCCCTCCACTTGAACCCCCCCTCTACGAGTAGGTTCCGCCAAGGCCTTCATCGCAAAATTGCTAGCGACCACCTCCTTGCGGGAGCGAGAGTGCTAACACACCACGTCAACTCGCAATTAGATCACGTTTCCTTTCCGTCTCGGTTGGGTCCAACTTCTTCTCCTCTCTTCTGCTTCCTCCGCCACGGGTGCGCCACGCGGTCATCGTTCCTTCATATTGTATTTTTCCGTCCTCCATCGTCCCATATTTCGCGAGGTCACAGACAAATCTTTCACACAGGACCCAGCTCGGTCGCGCACGCCATTCAATCCCGGAAGTCTACCAAAACACTTCCACACCAGTATTCTCCAAGCACCAGTAACTTAGCGAAATCCCCCCCTCGGATACCTTATGGCACTGTCGAGGGGTTCCCGGCTGTTAAGCGACGAATGAACCTTGTGTGGCTGCAGAGCCTCTCACTTTTCCCATCTCGGGGCCCAGAGGCGGATTGTACTGTAGAAACATCTCCAAGTATAGCACGCTTGTTCATCTCCCGATTTTCCAAATGAAAAACAGCGTACCGCCACTCCCCTTGTACCGTCAGCATCCTTCGACTTATCCAAATCCCCTCTTTCCTATGCCAATATGGGAAGTTAGTGGTTTGGTTGGCTCCAAGAGAACAAAAGTTCCCTTGACCGACTTCTCCACCGAGAACCTCCGAGAAAGGTATAACAATACTTGTGATACCCCGACCCACGCCCTGCCATTCCACACAT